TATATATCTAGGGACTTTAATTTGACTGTTACAGGTCATGATGATCTGCAAGTTAAGTCGCAGTTTTTTTGCATCGTACGGTCTATAAGGATAGTAAAATATTCATCCAGACTGGTTTAAAGGAATAACTGTAGTCAGCACTAGGAATAAAAGGAGGGTATAATATTTTTCATTATTAATTTTTATTCGATTCTGCAAAGTTATTAACGATCCTACGCACGATTTTCGAGATTACCGGAGCCCATTGTAATAAAAAGGCGAACAATAAGCGCTTAAACAATCCTCCGGGCTGAGAGAGGCTTTATAAATAGAAATATAATGTTAACAATGGCAATCATTAGTATCGAAAACCAACAAAAATGCACGATATTTATTGATATATTTTTATAATGTTGCTGAATCGGTCGTTCGATATTTTATTGTTATTATATTCATTATTAATTAGACAAATAGTCATTAAGCTCCATCCACGCAAGTTAATTGTTTGAAGATTATTTTCTAGCCATTTGTAAGTGAGATAAAATAATTACAAGTGAGATAAAATAATAATTACTTTTATTAGAAGAAGTTTAGGGGAGAGTAACCTAAGACGGGACGGTATACTAAAACGGGCTAATCTATTTATCCACGTATTTGATATGGTACATGGTACTACCAAGCCCAACTAGCATTTATTGTGGCAGATACGTAACTATAAATATATATTGCGGATTTTTTACGACATTCGTCGTCTCCCGCTTCTCAACTTCCACAGATTTCTGTCTGTCCAGTCTTCTTCCTGAAGGACCCTAGAATTCATAGCGTCACAGACAGACGGACGGACAGACAGACAGACAGACAGACAGACAGACAGACAGACAGACAGACAGACAGACAGACAGACAGACAGACAGACAGACAGACAGACAGACAGACAGACAGACAGACAGACAGACAGACAGACAGACAGACAGACAGACAGACAGACAGACAGACAGACAGACAGACAGACAGACAGACAGACAGACAGACAGACAGACAGACAGACAGACAGACAGACAGACAGACAGACAGACAGACAGACAGACAGACAGACAGACAGACAGACAGACAGACGATGACAGACAGACAGACAGACAGACAGACAGACAGACAGACAGACAGACAGACAGACAGACAGACAGACAGACAGACAGACAGACAGACGAACAGACAGACAGACAGACAGACAGACAGACAGACAGACAGACAGACAGACAGACAGACAGACAGACAGACAGACAGACAGACAGACAGACAGACAGACAGACAGACAGACAGACAGACAGACAGACAGACAGACAGACAGACAGACAGACAGACAGACAGACAGACAGACAGACAGACAGACAGACAGACAGACAGACAGACAGACAGACAGACAGGCAGGCAGGCAGGCAGGCAGGCAGGCAGGCAGGCAGGCAGGCAGGCAGGCAGGCAGGCAGGCAGGCAGACAGACAGGCAGGCAGGCAGGCAGGCAAGACAGACAGACAGACAGACAGACAGACAGACACCATGAAAATATTTTGTATTAAGGTCATTTATGACCCTTTTATGACCCAAATAACTCATTTTGAGTGAAATTAAAAAAAAACTTTTTTGCCGATCTTAATAGCCTACCATACCTATTGGTATGGTCGGCTAAAAATAATAATAATTTGCTTGAAACCGGGGTCAAACTTTAAAATATTAGTCCACCGTCAGAAATAACAAAATAACTAAAGAAAAAAGCTTTAGGTATATTTAGCTTAAAAACGCATGATGTTTGCGCCATTTGGCTGCTCGTCTAAAAATTCATGAAAAAAACATGGCCGTTTAATCCAAAAAATACTTTATAATTCCATATGCTAAGTGACAATTGTAGCTATCAAAGGCGACTTTATAGAAACAATAACTTTTTTGGAACTAGATGGTCCACGATTCTTTGGAACCATAAAGTGATTTTTTTCCAAGAAAGTTCCCTGCGCCACCAAATTGCCACTTAATTGGAGCGTTATGCTACATCGATCGCGACGGTTGCGACTATACATTCCATTGGTGGCTACTATAACGTTACGCCTTGTCCTTTAAAGTTATTTTTTACTTATTGTGCATTTTCTATTATTAGTGTTTCTATATTATTCAGAGCTACATAAGGTATAGTGTATTTTAACGCCCACTTTTTTAGCTCTTGTTTTATATTGTTGGTTCTCCAATTAGTTCTCCTCTGAGATTCAGTTTCAGATGAACTAACACTACACTCTACATCTACAGAAACAGCTGCAAAAATGTCTCAGTCACTACCTGATTTATGATGTTCATCAATAGGATTATAGAAAGATGTAGTTTTTGTTTCTGATGTTGATGCATCGGCTTGCAGTGATTCCTTTTGTTTAATTCTTCGGTAGAAAGTACTAGAATAACTAAATTCCTTTTTATTCACCTTAGTGATTTTACAAAATTAAATTAATAAAGCGCAATAATAATAGCAGGTAAAATAAAACACTAAAACAGAGCAACACACGATGCAATCTGAGGCAATTACATTTATTAGGGTATATTAAGTTACGGTCACAATCGTACTTCTGGAGGGATTCATAGTTTGGACCACCAACCATAGCATATACACCTTCGTGAAGATTAGGTCCAATTCCAAGACTTTGTCCTATTTCCTTTGTCCTATTACACAGCAATTTTTCAAATACTTTTATCCTAACTTTTGTTTACGGCAAAGAAACGTTCACCAAAATCATCATCATTCCTCTTAGAGGATGCGTCCCAGCAAAACCTAGAAAGTTGATGTGGTCCTTGATGAGCATTATGTCTCCAACTTTATAGTTTTTGTTAACTCTACCAACAGCATTTGTTATAATGGACACAGGGCCGGCGGAAGGGCCGGGCGACCCGGGCAGCCGCCCAGGGCGCCGGATGTGAGGGGCGCCACGACAGCAACTAAAATATTTAAAAAAGTAATCTAAACCAATAGTAACGAATAACCAGATCAATAATTAATCGGTACTATTAATTTCCACATTAAAATATTAGCAATTACCACATCACATAGGGAAGAATATCTGATTAAACATTATAAACGCTACTATATCCTAGACGTATCCTATTATAATTTACTGAAATTCTGCTCAAAAAATCCTTAGCACAAAGGCTTCCGGATAGTTTTGATTTCTTCTATTCTATATGCTTTTTCGGTGCTCTATTCGAAACTGGGATTTGCGAATCCATTTTCGTGGAAAAATCTTAAAATAAAATAAAAAAATATAAATCTGATTTGTTCGTGTTATTTTACTTATAACTCAAAAGCTATCAACTTTTTGTAAATAACCTTCCTTTCTTTAATTCTTGCTTTTATACATTTTCTCTAAATGAACTGTTTTGGGTCAAGAGCCAGCAAAATTGATAGTTTTAGCAGTCAGTCTACTCAAAATCACACTTTTTCTACTACCCTCACCTTTTATTTGTTATTAATGGCTGATATACCCTAAAATTATATGAGGAAAATATTTATTCGCAAGAAGCTAAAGAGGATCCCGATATCCTAATATCGATAAATTAAATTAATTCATTAACAGTAATGGGAAAAGATATCGTTTTTTTGGTGGTTTTGGTTGTTCCGGATTGAACGTGTAGTAATACACGGAAAATGGTAACAGAATCGTAGAATTGTCTGATTAGGGCAAGACAAAAGAATGCATCTCTCACGCTTCAAAATGAGGTTACTCATTTTGAGAGCCGACAAAACTATATCTGGTCATAAACTGATTCTGCACGAAATAATTGATTGTGAAAAAGAAAAGAAAATTTTCTTAAATTCTTATAAAAAAATAATGCAACTGCTTGAAACTAAAGACTAATATTTGCAAAGATCACTGCTTATATCAGACGAGACTGCCGAAGTTGGAATTCTATTTCTTATAACTCTATATTATACGGGATGCGTCTCAAAAGTGGCTCATTCAAACCTATAACTTGTTTATTTTTTCAGATGAAAAAACGAAATGGTAAGTTAGTATACGACAGAAGTTAGGATTAATTGACCTATTCAATTGTTTTTGGTCACTTCCTGTTTTACCGGAAATTACTACAACTTTTGATTTTTAAATGGCACCCTCGGTATTTAAAGAGCACACTCTACTTTATGACATATGTCAACTTTTGACATTTTCGACTAAAAATACGATTTTGGCACCTTTTAACCGGTCAGGACAAAACACGAAAAACATTAGACGATCAAATCTATTTTTCCAAGGCTCCTTGTTTAAAAATTAGTAGATATTTTTAACAGAACCATGGCATGGCACTGTAGATGGAAATTTAAAATATAACATTTTTTGAAAGAAAATGCTCAAAGTTGACATATTATATTTCATTCTACTCAGTGTCATTTTCTATCGAATAAAGTAGAAATATACCGAGATTTAAAAATCAAAAATTTTACTGATTTCCGGTGAAACAGAAAGTGGCCCAATCAATTCTAATTTATGTCATATATTAACATACCAAATCTCGTTTTTTATCTAAAGAAATAAAAAAATTATAGGGGTGAGTCACTTTCGAGACGCACCCCAGTCGGCCGACTAAAAATTACATATCAGTGCGTACCCTAATTATCCTAAAAAAACTCACAAGTGAAAGGCAGAAAAATGCATGTTTCATTTAGAAATATGTAATAATCACTTTTATCCAAATATGCAATAAATGTTTTGAGTAGTGTATTGGGGGGGCGCCAGGTAGGGTACTCGCCCGGTCTCAATATTTCCCTTCCGCCGGCCCTGAATGGGCATTTCCACACCAAGCATTTTGGCAATTCCTATTGAAATATATATTTTCTTTAATTATGTATTTTATATAAAGACAGTGGTCAATACATTTAATTTAAAGATAAATAGAATATAGCTTAGTGTTAAGGTACAGCCATTTAATTTAAAGATAAATAGAATATAGCTTAGTGTTAAGGTACAGCCAAAAGAACAATATAGATAATAATGTCTGTATTACATATTAGGTTTTATTAGAAAGCTTTACATTTTACACAGCGTTTGTGTTATATTACATTTACAATTTTTTCTATCAGAGCTAATATTTTCATTTTTACTTTCGTTAAAATTACATATTTGTACAACTTTTATCACAAAATCTTTCAACTGTTAGGTTTTAGAATTAACTGCTGCTAAATTTTCTTCATGATTGGGCTGTTTCTCTCAACTTTTAAACCACAATATTTCGCCACTAAAACTTCTAGAAAAGTCGACATTCCTACAGCATCTACGTTAAGTGTTCTTAAAGCTCGTACTCGTGAAGGGAATTCATAGTTTGGACCACCAACCATATCATAGACACCTTCATGAAGAGTAGGACCAATTCCAAGGCCTTTTTCATATTATCACAGCAACTTTTCGAATATGAATATGATGTGATCCTTGATTAGTATATGTATTAGAAAGCACCAAGCATTTTACACAGCCTTTGTACAATTACAATTTTTCCCATCAGAGCTAATATTTTCATTTTTACTTACGTTAAAATTACATTTTTCTATAACTTTTATCACGAAATCTTTCAACTGTTGGGTTCTAGAATTAACTGCTGCTAAAACTTCTTCATGATTGGGCTGTTTCTCTGAATCATAGTCCGCCACACATTCGTTGGTAATAAGACTGAACCCGAAAACTTTTAAACCACAATGTTTCGCGACTAAAACTTCTGGAATAGTCGACATTCCTACAGCATCAACGTTAAGTGTTCTTAAAGCTCGTACTTCTGAAGGAGATTCATAGTTTGGACCACCAACCATAGCATAGACACCTTCGTGAAGATTAGGTCCAATTCCAAGACTTTGTCCTATTTCCACAGCAATTTTACGAATATTTTTATCGTAACTTCTGTTTACGGGAAAGAAACGATCACCAAAATCATCATCATTTAGTCCTCTTAGAGGATGTGTCCCAGCAAAACCTAGAAAGTTTATGTGGTCCTTGATGAGCATTATGTCTCCAACTTTGTATTTTTGGTTAACACCACCGGCGGCATTTGTGATGATGAGCAATTCCACACCAAGCAATTTCGCTATTCTTACAGGAGAAGTTATTTTCTTTAACGAGTGACCTTCGTAGTAATGGAATCTTCCTTTCATACACAACACATTAATGCCTGATATTGTACCAAAAACTAGTTGTCCTGAGTGTCCTTTTATAGTACTTTCAGGAAAATTAGGTATGTCTCCGTATGGGATCACGATTGGAGACTGCAAAGAATCTGCTAATATACCTAGTCCAGAACCGCATATAATAAGAATTCGTGGGCTTGATGGGATCTTTCCTTTTATGTAACTCGTTGCTTTTTGTAGATGAGTTAAAGAAAATCCATCTTCGTCGATGGGGGCCATTTTTTTGGTATTTTTTCGATGAAGACTGAAATTTAGTTATGTTGTCATTATGTAAAATTCAATGTGACATTTCTTGACGTTTAAACAGATATCATTGTGTAAATTCAAAAATAGCTGATAAGCATTATGGTATAGAATTATTATTCTGTGGATAGAAATATTTACTATAGGTCTTTCTCTTTGAATAAGAAGACTAAGGAAGGAGCATATCAAAAATCTTAGGTACACCGCGATGGGCCTCAAATATGGCCGTTTTAAATTCCGGTTTATCAGTGTCGTTCTAATTTTATTTAAAAAATGTAAAACTATGATGTAGGGTAGACGTGGGGTAGACTCAATAATTTGTTGTTTTATTTTACGTTGTGAATAAATGTTGGTAGTTATTAAAATTGTTATAAAAATATATAATTCTAATAAAAATAGATAAGTTATAATAAGTATTTATTAACACAAACTTCCGATACGCTACTGAAGCAGGTTAGTCAAATTAACGTATCTAAATTCTTTGACATCTAATCTTTGACAAGTAATAAATAAAAGCTAAAATGCAAGAAAAATATATAATTTAGTTAATTTAAGTGAATTTCATAAATGATCGGTTTACTACACGTATATATATTATATAGTCACTTACTAGCGAAAAGTTGTTCCATTATTTCACTCAATTTTTGCCGAGATCTACCGCACGCTACACAACCAACTATTTTAGAGTCTTTTTCGATAAATCGCGATAGTGTCACTGTTAATTTAAGTTCTGCCACATTTTCCATCTAGATTTACTACCTTTATACAACTATCAGTAGTAGAATAAATAATAAATAACATAAAATAAGCTCCGTAAAGACTGACAAATCCACAAAATTTCAAATCAAATTCAAATGTGTCAAATGAATCGTCAAACAGAACTGTCAAGGATCCCCACCCTAGAGAGCTTTTATGGTGGCTTTTCCGCCCACCATGCATGAATACATGGATAGCATTATGCTCCTTCCTTAGTCTTCTTATTCAAAGGTCTTTCTATAGGTATTTATAATTTATTTTAATATAATATTAATATCTTATTTTAATATACCCTGACAAAGTAAAATCAAAATATATCACATATATTGTAATTTTACTACATATATATATATATATATATATATATATATATATATATATATATATATATATATATATATATATATATATATATATATATATATATATATATAAAAAGAGATAATAAAAGATAGATAATGAAGTTGAAAGAAATTTGAAAGTGTTATATCTAAATGTATTCCGGAAACTATATACGGCAGCATATTCTGCAGATAAAAATAAGTTCGTATAAATGTATGTCAAACGCAAATGGCGGCGTGCGCGAGGATATGCGCGTAGCGTTCCCGCCAAAGCGAGTTAGCCTGCCGATTGATTTATATGCCGTGCTCTGACCATAAAACATTAGGCCAAGAACAAGTTTGCAAAACATTGATGTTGTAATACATCATTTTAGGCCAAGACTGATTTTACAAAATATCGATATCGTAATACATCATTTAATTGAATATTAAGCAAAATCTGTCGGAATCGCTATACTCTCACCATAAAATATTAGGCCAAGAACAAGTCTGCAAAACATTTATGTCGTAATACATCATTTTTGGCCAAAACTGATTTTGCTCCTAATATTAAGTTCGATATAAAAAAGGTAAAGTAGCAAGCAATAAGTAAATTGAAGCCGTCATAATAACATAGAGATTGAAAAATATGAAACCATGCATTGTAGGTTTATAACAGCGACATAGCGGTGTTGCAACGAAGCTCTGCTTGCTGCCCATTAACCACCGCATCCACTTACGCCAAAGGATTCTAACCCCCCCCCCATCTGCCTAGAACTCTTCCGGTTTTCAGTAAACCCTTACCATACAGTCTCCAGTATCGTATCCAATATCTCATCATATTTCCTTTCCACCGAGTACTACGCGAAGCAACTACCATTCGATACGGGTCTTAATTGCTTATCGATCGGGCAGGCGATCGCCAACCGAAGACGGAAAGACATTATAAAGCGATCAGACGCGAAATAAAAAGACGAAGATGGGAGAAACAAAACGACGGCATCGGCGAAAAGGACGACGACAACGGCAACAACAAAAAAGAACGCGAATCGTTCGACCACCTCGCAACCGCGACGCCCAAACGTTTATAATTTACTTAACTCCGCGGCGTGTACAAGTTAATTTAGCTTAGAGATGCGCGGTATAATGTCCGAATCGATCAGGAGATAAAGCCAGAAGAGAATTGATAGAAGACCAGTCCAATGACTCTAAAAGATTATTCTTGTAACACCAAATTTTCGTAGTAATCCTCTGTTAGAACTCAACTTAAGGAGTCTGCTATTATTAACTGCTAGGCAATATGCAAATGATGGGCAAAATGGGCCACGGCTGTCCTTTGCCGGAAACACTGCTACCTGTGAGGCCTATTGTGCTTGTCCCCTTTCTATATCTTCACCCATTCTCCTATCTCTGTGCCCTGCAATAACTTATACAAGTCCTTGATAGAATGGGAACATAGTTCCTCCTGTTCTAGCCTAGCTTTCCCAAATAAAAAGTATAGCTTGCGATCCAGAGCCTCGCAGTGATGTGCTGTTTCAGGGTCTTTATCGCAGAGTCTGCAGCAAAGACTTCCTTGATACAGATTGAGCTTGTTCAGTTAACACTTGACAGGCATGTGTCCTGTCAAGAGGCCTGTTGTAAGTCGTACTTTATTCCTGCTAAGCATTGTAACGTTTTTAGTTCGTTACATGTCTTTATTATATATAATATATGATGTCTGGCCTATCATCACCGGATTCCCTCTCGTTCAGGCCGGATAGTTTATTTGACGCGTAATTTTTACGTTCTCTAGTCCACAACCTGTTATCGTTTGACACAACCCTGTTATCGCTCTGTGGAGGCGCTGTCAACATCGCTTCTGTCAACTCTCTGTGCTGTCGACTGACTTTTGCTTTTAGCGCTCTGTAGCCTAACCTAACCATCCCGGATTTTAGAAATGGTGATTATTTAAATCTTGCTGTATAATCTGAATCAGCTGCTATTTCAAAGCAACAGGTAAAGATGAAAGATTATCCTTTTAGATTCGATATTATTACTGCATATTTTTAGGGTAGAGTTTTGGATGTCCCAACCTAACTTGTATGTGTATTTTGCTGGCACGTTGGCGTCCCTTTTCTTTTGTCCTCCATAATGTCACATGGAAGAAAGGACATGTTCTTTATTATTTAGTGAGCTTTCGGAAGTAATTCGAGGTAGGTTCATTTTGTTTATGATGACCTTGTTTGATTTTAAACAAGGGTTTCGTATTTTTAGGGTCCAAGGTACGGACTTTTTACAAGGTACGGGCATTATCCAAGGTCCTAGTAGTATCCAAGGTACGGGTAGTGTTCTCCTGTACCGTTATCTTATGGACGGACTGTGTCCAAGGTTGTGGTACAAGGTTATGGTCCAAGTTACGGACATTATCCAAGGTCCTAGAAGTGTTCCAAGGTACGGGTAGTGTCCCCATATTGCCACAGTATGGATACAGCGTAAGCCCCATGCTGCTTCGCTCCCATTTCTAAGCCTAGTCAGTAGCTACGGCTGTATTGATTCATGGTGTCCTCATCCTGGCCCCTTTTGTTGTATTGGCCAACAGGATAGCCGAGAAACAGTACAGAGATATGAGCCCACCTCACGCTGTTACTGTTTTAAGCAAGAAGTTCAAGTATTACATTTAACATTTAAAACATTTTCAGTCTTAACTTATGTTCAGTCTTAACTTAAATGTGTTTTCTTTCTCTGTACATGCCTGGCGCCCAATATCTATTTCTTTTGTTTATTGTTATTAAATAGTTTTCTTTCCAGTGAAATACCTTATCCACGACTGCTCTCCGATGAAAAGCTGCCGTTCGCAGTGGTAGTTGTTATAAAAAACGCTACAGCATTAGCAGTTCTTTTGCGGTTTTAGAGCTTGGTCCTTGGATAAAGGCCGTGCTGTGCCTGTGCCCCTATCTGTCTATCAAGAACACAAGACAAGACGGCATGCAGAAGCATGGGCATCCAGGAGTGTACAGAGGAAAGCTAAAAAGGAAGAAGAAGAAGAAAAAGAAAAAAAAAGAGAAAAAGAAAAAAAGGAGAAAAAGAAAAAAAAAGGAAAAGGAAAAGGAAAAGGAAAAGGAAAAGGAAAAGGAAAAGGAAAAGGAAAAGGAAAAGGAAAAGGAAAAGGAAAAGGAAAAGGAAAAGGAAAAGGAAAAGAAAATCCAAAAAGGAACTAATTGAACTACAAATTGATAGAAACTGTAAGAAGCATTTGAATCCTGGAGTAAACGGAGAATATCTAACGAAGAAAAAAAAAGGATAAGAGAATATATTTTTAAACTGAAATATTTGCGACCGGTTACAGAGAATATCGATACGTACCACCACCTCCTTAGCGTACTTAGAGCGGTCAGTAAAACCTCAGAGGCGGGTTAATTACGAAGGCGATTATTTATCGTTCACCGGGTCGGTCCGGGTCTGTCGCTCTCCACTCCTGGACGGTCCCAGGGAGCGAAGGGAGAGAACGAGGCGAGCGAGAGAGAGAGTTATTGGGCGCGATTACGGCCCCGTTCGTTAATTAGTCGGTCGATTTGCATTTTTAAGCCGCGCCGTTCGTGGCCGAGCCCCGGCCCTCGATACCACCTAGGTGTTTGCACCTCGGTGGACGCGAGCTGATGTTGATGACCACGTCGACCGGGGCTCAGTCAGAATGAAGGTCTTTGGATGCAAAGGTTCTCACGAAGGTTTCGTGTTATTGTACCAAGAAGAGTCATAGAGAAAATTTAAGTTATTTGAGCATCACTAAATTTTTGGTTGTGTTAAGGTCTGTAATTAGGCATTAGATATTTGAAGCTGGGTATTCACAAAGGGTTAAATCTTATTTAACTCTTCTCTGCTGTTTCACCAATTTTTAGTAAAATTATTCTAGCAACATTTCAAACAACTTAGATTTAACTTTTAGTTCTCAGACTTGGCCTTTAGTCTGTGCCCAATTCAAACCA